TCAAAAACATAAAGATGAAGGACCTAATTTCCAAAACGGGCAAAAGACTTGAATCACATTTCTCCAAAGAAGGTACACAAAAAGTCGTGAAGCACCTGAGATGTTGGTTGCCATCATTAGTCATCCAGGTAATGCAAACACAAACCACACTGAGATATGACCTCACAGCAGTCGGGATGGCTATAATCAAAGACAGACAATAACACTTGTTGGTAAGGATGGGAAGAAATGTTGCCAGTGGGCTAGAAAATGATACAAATACTTTGGATCAGTGTGGCAGTTTCTCGAGGGGTGAAGCATGGAATTAGCCTATGACCCAGCAATTTTACTTTGGATGTACACAAAAGGGAAATCAAAATAAACATCCACACAAAAACATACGTGTGAATGTTCATAGTGGTATTATACATAGTAGACAAAAAGTGCACATCATTGAAATGTTCATCAGTCGATGACTAGAAACAAAATGTGGTCCATCATGGAATATTACTTGGCCATAAAAAAGATGAAGTATGGGGTGCCTGGGCAACTCAGTTTGTTGGGGTCTGCCTTCAGCTCAGGTCATGATCTTGGGGTCCTGGGATCAAGCCCCGGATTGGACTCCCAGCTCAGTGGGGAGTCTGCTTCTCCCTCAGCCTCTGCCCCTCCCCCTGCTTGCGCTCTCCCCCTCTCTCTCAGATAAATAAATAAAATCGTGGGGGAAAAAAAAGAAATAGGCCATAACATGAATGGACCTTGAAAACATTATGCTGAGTCCAAGAAGCCATGTTGTTATATGATTACATTTATGTAAAATATCTTGACTAGGGGAACCCAGAAAGAAGAGAGGTTGCTAGAGGGTGGCGGGAGGGAGGAAGAGGAAGAGAATGCTAATGGGTGTAAGGTTTCTATCCAGGAGGGGCTGATAAGAATGTTTGGAAATTAAGTAGTTTGGCGGTTGCACAAGTCTCCGTTTAGGCACAGAATTACAAAACCATGGAATTGTATACTGGAAAGAGGTGAATTTTATGGAATTTGAGTTGTATCTCAATAACAATAAAGGACCCTACATAAATGTTTCTTTGAGTCACTAATGTCAGGTAAGGATCTCACATAAAATTAGTCCTGTCTAAGCTACTGAGCATTCTAAAAAAACAAACAAACAAACAAAAAAAGATATTAAGTTCTCACCCAAAGCAAATTCAAGGAAGGAGTGAGCTCTGGCCTCTCTTCCTATTCCTGTTATAAGGACGCCAGTCCTATAGAATTAGGACCTCCTTCTTATGAACTCATTGAATGTTAGTTACCTGGCAAAGGCCTTATTTCCTAATACTAGTCCCATGGAGGGTTAGGGCTTTAGCCTTTGGATTTGGGGGGACAGAATTCGGTCCATGGTACATTCGAAATAAATATCTACTTTGCCATTCAAATTGTATTGCTCGTAAGGTACAATTTGTTCCTTTTTTAAGGTACTGAAATTGTACAGTCAGGCCCAGCAAAGCCTGGCTTTGGCCCCGATTATTCCTTTTACAGAGGACATGACTGTTTTAGGAAGAAGTGCTCTGCTCTCAGTCACTTTGCTGCTGAGTGGTCCTGCCGCTACACAAAGCGGGGGCGGGGGGGGGTCCCTCCATCAGCAGCCGTCACATTGCTGGGAGCCTGTTTCGGGAAGTCTGACTCCTGGGTCCTACTGTGGACCCACTGTGCCAGAATCTTCCTTTTAACAAGATCGCAGGAGCGTCCTGTGTATGTGCAACCATGGAAAGCCCTGTGGTGGGCGAGGCTGTCCCCATCAGCGGGCAGGTTTTCTGTGAATTCTTCCTATCCTGGCCTTCCCACAGGGGAAGCTGGAGCAACTCTCGGGGTGGCCCAGGTACCCCACCTCGATGCAAGGGGGGCTGAGCGCACAAGGGGCGTGGAGCACGGACAGGCTGTTTCTTGCCCATAGAGAGGAGAGGTGAGGTCTGGAAGGGGAGGCAGCAGCCAAGCAGGGGCCTGGGCTCAGAGCAGGGGAAGAATGTTCCTAAAAGGGCCTCAGTCTGGTTCTCAGCAACGGTGACAGTTCCTGCTCCTCCAGTCCAGAGCCGCCAGCATGGTAGTCCAGAGCCATAGCAGGGCTGGCCAGGGACCAAGCATGGTGCCCTGAGACACAGAGCAGTTCAGCCCAGCTCCGCGCATGAATGGGGCCAAGGTGGAGCTTTCAGACAGTGAGTGCACAGCAAGGCAAGACCCACGTCACCACAGCAGCATGCTGGAGCCGGGCGGCCTGTCTCTAACCTGGTGTTCCTGGTGGGAGCCGGAATTCGGTGACTTGGGAGCATTCATATCACAATGATTGGCAAATGCTACCAATGGGGGCCTTTTCTTTTTGAGCCATTTTAAAACATGTGTCAGCGCATTCTTGGATTTTTCCAACACTTGAAATAGATAATGTAGAAATAGCATCTGAAAAGGTGCTAGTTTTAGTCAAGGAAATTCAAAAGTCAGTGGCGAAGAATCAGTAAGGAAACGAATGCCCTTGTCTGTGATCAGTGAGTGCCGTTTGCTCTAAAAGGAAGGCGGGCAAAGCAGCACAGGAGAGCCTCGGGGACAGTAAGAGCAGTCCTGGGGACCGCCCCCAGCCCTCTGCTTCTCAGCCTTTCCCCCTGGAAGAGCTAAGCCCCTGTCTGTCTTCTGTTTCCCCTGTGGGCTCCGTCGCCAAGATGGCTCTCTCCACACCACACACAAAGGCTGACATATGGCAAATGCGCCAAAGTATCCAGTGGACCGCCCAATTTTGAAAACACCTCTGCCCTGCTGGGTCTACTGGGATCCTCACCAGTAAGGGAATCTGTGTGGCAACACACAGAGAAATCGGTCCCCTGTCTGCCTGCCTCCCGGGCTCTGCACCATGCCCCCACAGCTGGCCCACAGGATTGCCAGGCCTGGCCTATTCGAACTCTCCAGGAGGGTCTTGGGAGCTCAGCCCTGCTCCAGCGGCAAGTCTGACTCCGTCCTCTGCCTCATTGTGACATCCCTCCCCAGACTCCACCTTCCACCCCATTCCTGACCAGTGGTGCCTGATGGGTTTTGAGGTCAGAGATGCCTGGTAGCCTCCAGGAATTGGTGGTTGAAGCTCAAGGCCCTTAAGGACCTTCATCCCTGGAGAGCACCTCAAACCTCAGCCTGGAGGCGGGACACTGCTTCCTTAGACAGGAACTGTCTTGCTGAGAAACTCTTCAACAGCTCTGATCCCAGTTCCCTCCCATCAGGTGCCTCCCGCTGGCTTTGCCAGGCCCTCAGGTTAGGAGTGATCTGTGAGCTGGATTTCCTGCTGGGGTCCTCAGCTGGGACCAGGCCCACCATCCCTGGTCCACTTCTGGGCTCTGGTCGTGCTGGGGTTGCTCTTTCCCACATGGTGTCCAGAGCAGGGATGGGGGGAGGGGCGGTTCCTGATCTTGGGAAGGATCTTCTGACCCAGAAACCTAGAGGTGGAAGGAGTAGTAATGGATTCATCCATTCAGTGCAATTTCTGTGTATGGTGCACCAGTCCTCCTGGCCTGGCACTGTTCCAGAGGCTGAAGGTTCACAGAGGAAAAAAAGAGGCAAAAGGCCCAACACTCACCGAGATCACATTCTGGGGAAGAGACAGGCGACAAGCACAAAAGCAAACTGTGTACTGAGGATGGTACGTCCTTACCTATTTACATCCCATTGATATATAATGTATGCACCCATATTTATTTTTTATTTACTTTTATATGGGTATGCACCCCTACACACACACACACACACACACTCACTCACAGCAACATTTTATTTATAAATGTAAACAAACATAAGCAAACACAGGGGAGGCTTTCCAAGGGAGGCTTCCGTGCGGAGCAGGGAGCAGAGAGCAGGAGGAAAACTGTGAAGAGAGCATCCCAGGCAGAGGCCTGCAGTGGGAAAGAGCTCAGCCATTTGGAGAACAGCCCAGAGGCTGAGCTTCTGTGTCCTGAGCTCCAAAGCCATGTGCAGAGGAAGGATCAGGGTTCTGGGAGGGCCCGACAGCTGAGCAGCCAAGGCCCGGTGGGTCATGGCAAAGACTGAGCTCTGTATCTAGGCTGGTCGTCTCCCTTTGTCAAGGAGAAAGCAGAGGCCTGGGGGGACAAAGGCTCAGGCTGGCCTGGGGACAGCTCATCCAAGCATCAGATAGGAATGGAGAATGGTTCCATCGCAGGCTCCCCTGATTCTCTTTCTTCTCTGCCTGTTACTCACCTGGTTGGAACCAGGTGGAAGTGTCATTTCTGGAGGTCAGACTTTCACACTAATCCCAATCTCTTTTGTCGCTTTAGGTGGGTTCTGAGGAGTGTGGGGGTGAAGTTGGGGTAGATCAGGAAGCTGGAGCTGACCTGCCCTGGGCCCAGAGTGGGCTGCCCCTGCAGGGCATTTCTGGCACCACCTCAGAGCCCCATAGACCAGCCTGGCAAACCAGAGCATGCTTACGGCAGGGGCTCCTGGTAGCACGGCTGGGCCCTGCTCCAGCCCCCATTGTTTCTGATTCCACAGGACTGGCTGGGCGCCGAATCTGCATTTCTAGCACGTTCGTTCCCAGGTGCTGCTGGTCAGGGCCCCACTTTGAGACCCACTTGGAGACCCTAGATAGCTGTTGCATGGACAAAGGTTCCGTTGGGATCCAGGGCAGAGCCAGCGACACCAATCACTCACTTCTCATTCTCCAACCTCAGTCCTTCCCAGCCGGTCCGCCTATCTAGCCCTCCGGGGCCTCGCCGAGACCAGGTGCTTCCCCCTCCCGCAACTCCTCCCCGCCCGGGCGCGCCCCGCGCCTCCGGATCCCCCACGCCGCCCAGGCAGGGACGCACTCCCTCGCAGGGCGGAGGAGCCCGGGAGAAGCTCGGGAGGGGCGCTGCTGCGGGCGGGGTGTTGCCCCGGGGCCCAGGTGCCGCCAGCCTCTTCCCGGGACGCGCGCGGCGGGCAGGGCGGGGAGCTCCGGAGGCGCGGGCGGGCGGGGGCGGGGGCGGCGCTCCGGTGGGCGCGGCGCACCTTGCTCCCGGCGCCCCCGCCCCGCGCCGCGCCAGCCCCTCCCCGCGCGGCCCGCGCCCCCGCCCGCCCGCGACCGTTCCAGCCCCTTCCGTCCGCTCGCCCCGCCGCTGTCCTCCGCCGGCCCGCGTGGGAGGACGATGGGTCAGCGCGGAAAAAGTGAATGAGGGCGGCGGCGGCGGCAGCGAGTGCCTGACTCGGCCGGGCCCGGGCCCCGCGCGCGCCCCCCGCCCGCCGACTCCATGGACGCACCGCGCGCCTCGGCGGCCAAGCCCCCTACCGGGTAAGTGTCCGGGCGGCCCGGCTGCGCGCGGCCGGGGCTCTGCTCGGGCCGGACGCCCTCGTCCGCACGGCGCGCATTCGGGGCAGGGGCACGGGCGCTGGGGAGAGCCCGGGGCGCGGGCGCCCCCTCTGCGGCCCGCAGGTCCGCGCCCGGCCGCGGCAGGGGGTTGTGTACTTTGTGCGCCCGGGTCGTTGCCCAGGTAACAGTGTCAGGCCGAGGCCGTAGCACTTTCGCGCCGGTCTGTTTGCGTGCGCGCGCCCTTTTTGGGGTCCCCGCGGGCGGAGCCCTCACAGAGTCCGAGCCTTTCTCAGCCACCTCCGAGTGATTGCCCCGGGGGCCGCGAGGGCGGTGGAGACCCGCCCTCGGACTCCAGTCCCGCCACTGACTTGCTGGGCGTCTGCCCCGTTGCGGTGGTCACCGCTCACCCGGCCACGGTATGCCGGACACCGTCCTTTTTCCCCCGCGAGCCAGAGGAGGTTCCGGGACCTCGCAGACGCCTGGGTCTGGCGGTCACAGGAGCGCTGTGTGTAGGGCACTGTCCTGCGGGCTTTCCTGGCCTCTGCTCCGCTCCCCAGCTTTCTTCTCTGGGGTTCCCCTGAACAGCCTGCAGGGCACCGGCTGGGACCCGACCGGAGGTGGAGACCCCAGCTTCCCAACTAAACTCTGACCATGCATCTTGCCGGCGCCGTTCTGCTGGAGCCCAGACCTGTCCCGATGTCAGCTGCCATCTCCACACGTCCTGTGTAGGGTTTACACTCCATGTTCCGGTTTTACTCGCAGAGTACCTTCCCCAGTAGAAGAAAAGCTATCCTGACCTTCAGCAGGACCCAGAGCCAGAGTCTGAACCGCGCACAGCCGGAGCAGGCCGCGGGGTCGCGCGCAGCCTCTGGGAACACTTGGGGCGCCCTGCCCTGCCCTGCGACCCGAGAACCAGTTCACTGGCCTGGAGGGAGTGTGCTATGAGTCCTGTAAATGGAATGAGTGGTTGGGTGGGACCTGCACCTGCTTACCGAGTGGGCCCACTTTCCGCTGTGGCAACTGGCCTTGAACTAGGCAGCTTTGGGGACAACTAATCTCTTTTCTTTGCAGTTGCGTCCCACTGACTCACTCTGCCCATGTTCCCATAGGCCGTTGTGTTGCCCAAGTCTGCCTAAGGTTTTTGTACTTGCCCTTTTTTTTTTTTTTACTCTCTCTTTAATGCCAGGAAAAAGTGAGCCAGGTTAGCAAATCAAATAATCCTGAAGCTGAGGAATGTTAAAAAGAACTTTTTTTTTTCTTTTTGCAATGCACTTAGTGGTGGTTATGTAACTCCATTTGAACAAACACATTTCCCAAAAAGAAAATAAAAGTGGGAAATCCCTTTACCTGGTAATGGGCATCCCGAAATGACAGGATTCAGAATTATCTTCCAATCTGTCACTTTGGGAATCTGTTTAATCAGCCAATTTAAGGAGACTGAAACCTTTCCTCAGTGTCATCTAATATGAAGGAAATGTGAAGGGGAGAGCATTTAAGAAGCCAGCAAAACTGGATTCAGAGATTATTTGTAAAGTTCTTGCAAGGAATTTGATTGTGGAGGTGAAATGTTGAATGCCCGCTCTCTAGCCCTGGGGCTAGACCAGCAAGAGGTGAATCCCCAGGCTAGTTCTTCACGGCGCTTCTCGGAGCTCTGGTCGGATTTCCTGAGTCTCCCCACCCCGAGGCCCCTCCCCAGCCCCTGGGGAACTAAGGGCCTTTGCTGTGGGTATGATAACAAAACCTTGCAGTTGTTACTATCCATACATTTAGTTCTCCCTCCGATCTGCTTGTTTGAACGTCTTTGAGAAATGTAGACACATTGCTTTTACTTTCTATTATTCCCAATTATTTTATCACGTGCCATAGATTTTTCTTTTATATCAAGAAAATACTGATGTGCTTATATTTTCTAGATAGGAATTACATGATTAATAAAACCATTGTGTATTAAAATTGGAAGAAAGAAATGATCTTGGGCTTTTGGAATATTTTATGTAACTTAGGGGCATTGCTTGCCTATCAGACAGGGCAGATTCAGATGGGGAATTTCTGGCTTTGGTACATTGTCAGTGGCCATCAAGTTCTGCTGGTTCTTCTCTGGTCTGCTCCTTTGTTGCTTGAGAATAACACGGTGCTTGCCATGTGCTCCGGGGAAATTTGTTTTCTGTCTGATAGGGCAAGGTTCGGCTATCAAATTAAACTTGGAGCAAGCAATCCTTTTCCCACAGGGTAGCGAACTACTGATGTGATGAACGTGTTGACTGACTCTAGCGTTCCTTCTTGTGTTATGTAGAGGAGGGCTGGCTGGGGAACAATGAAATAAGGAGATTTCACATTAGAAAGTAAGGTCTACAGAGGTCCTTCTTAAAGATCACTGAAGGGACAATCTCTTAGTGGACATAGATTGTACATCCCACTAAATTATTCATAAGTAGTTATTACTTATCTTTATTGAGTACACAAGTATACATTTCTAGTGGGATTGAAATTGTATGTTTTTAATAGTAATTTCATTAAGACAAGGATTTATGACTAACTTAACTGGGAAAAGTATCCTTGTAGGAAAGAGGCAAAAACTGACAAGCAGACTCGGTGTGACTTCTAAGGAATTTTCGAGCTCAGTTACAGTGTAATAATTTACGGAATATTCTGGAATGCAAGGGAAGACACATTTCCTTTGGGTGAAGCTTTTAAATACATTTAAGTCCATGTAAGATAAACTTTGAGTTTATCTGTTTACTTTTAGTTTCCCTGTTTGAGTGTTTTTGCGATCTGGGCAGGTCATGAGTGGTAATGGAACACAGAGTTAAGCTTCCCTCTGGACTCTGTATGAATGAGACAGAGTGTTTGGGTTTGGCAGGATACTGGTTAACTTTTTTTCTATGGAGGAAACACATAGTTCTGTAGAATAGAATAGTCTCCAGTGACACAAAATGTCAAAATTGCCAGGGCCTTTGCTCAGTGGCTGCATTCAGACGCTGTCCTTACATAAAAATCAGGGGACATTTGTTCAAGTTCGTTAAAATCTGAGCTTCACGAACACATAACTGATGTTCATTTCTCTGCATCAATTTGTATGGCTTTCATCAAGCTGTTAGAATAAGAAATTTTTTTTTTTTAATTAGTAGAACTGGATAATTTGAGCTTCTCCTGTCCTGTCACCACCCAGTAAAACATTATAGGAGCTGCTATCTTGATAATGACCGTGGGCTATCACAGTGACATCTTCCATTTTAACTCTGACAAGTGTCAGATGTTGCTGAAATATGTATACCATAATAAGAAAAAAGTTTAGGTTTCTAGCCTTTTTTTTTTAAAGGTTTCTAGGCTTTTGCCTGACATGTTTACATTCTTTAAAATGATAGTCTGATTATTTGTGGCATTGAACTTTTCCCGTTTAACTTAAAAGTTGTTACTTGTGAGCAAAACTTTTGGTTGACAGTAAAGACTGCAAAAGTTAGGTGGTGTTGGGTGTAATCTGGAAAGTAGGCCCAGGAGTCTTATTCTTTTGTACTTGTAATTTTTCTGAATAAGTTTGAGGAGTTGGACACTCCTCTATGACAATATCAAATGAACTTTGGGCTTTTTAATATTTCCTCAATGGCTGCATAAGGATGATAAAGCTAAATTATGATTTAAATTGGGAATGTAGATATTTGTACCATGTTGCTCCTCTCCTACCTGCTGGACCTGCAACCCCTCGTCTGCTCTCTGCGTGGCCTTTTCCTAGCCAGCCAGGACTGGTGATCACTGGAAAGGCACAGGCAGCGTGACAGCCCCACACCCACGCAGGCCTGTGTTCCAGCAGCCGGGACCTTGGAAGCGAATCCCAACTTGAGTGCATCCAAGAGCCGTCATAGTTCTTAAGAAAACCGTGATTACAGGCTACGTCTACACACCGTCATAAGCAGTTTGGGTTTCTAGGACTTCCGTGCTTTGTTATGAATCGTAAAACTGAATTTTATAATTGGTTGGAAAGTTTAAGCAGTGAGCAGAAGTATTTGATACCACAGTCATATACAGACTAAGGACGGGCGGATTTCAAAGACAGAAACGTTTGGTTGTGATTTAGGCTTCGACTAAGTGAAAGCATGTAGTAGAGACTTAATGTCTTTATTATGTGACATGTCCCTACACCCTTTTGGTCTCTCCCAGTCCACATTTAACCAGGGGTTTTCTGGCTTTTATGTGTCGGTTCATTTTACTGAATGCGGTTTTTCATTTACTTTGTACTTGAACAACAGATTTTATGTATCTCTTCATCTTTGTGCTTTTTCTCTACTGAACATGTTTGATATCGAATTATATTGTTGATATATGGATGATAACGCCTTTTTTTCCATTTTAGGATTTTCACTTATTTAGGCAAATTTTAAATTTTGGCTCCTCCCATTTTATACCTTCGCTTTCTCATTTTACTGTGTCACCAGAGTGTTTATTGTTCAGGGCCACTTGCTGGCTCTCAGCACTCGAGTGGGGGGCAGCGTTGACTCCTGTCACTTTTCCTTCATGTTCCCACCGGCTTTATTTTGCACCTGTCTCTTCCTGTGATAGCATTCATTTTTTTTGCCCGTGTATGTAGACTTTGATTTCATTTGCTTTATACAAGCTAATGATGGCACTTGTTTTCAAGACCTAACGGTGTTGCTTTGAGAGTAGATTTTGCTGTATACTCTGGTGCGACAAAAAGACTTCCTGCTGCCTGCCTCAGGAGTGTCCCCTAGCTTCTGCATAAGCCGCTCTGGAGACAGCTTGCTTCCCAGCTGGGAGATACTTTGTGGCCTCTGGGGTTTTTACAGGCTTCCATCTGGTTTCCCTAATTAGGTGGTGAGCTGTTGCTTGCCAAGACCATATTTTCTACAGGTCATGTCCAATTAGAATAAATTCCACAGCCAAAAACATTTCCAATAAAAAAAAAAAAAAGAAAAAACTTTTCAAGCGACCATTAAAATGCATTTCATTTGGGTGCATTTGATTAGATT